CTTTTCTGGCGAATATGAGTTTGCAGCCCGAGCCGAAGGCGAGGGCTGCAATCATATGAGCTAGAAAAGTTTTTTTTGGCCATATGACGAACAGTATTTTTTGTCATTCCGGCCGTGAGGCAGCGCTTCCGTGAATCTCTGCCTATGGCCGTCATAACAAAAAATACTGTTCGTCATATGGCCAAAAAAAACATTTCTAGCTCATATGATTGCAGCCCTCGCCTTCGGCTCGGGCTGCAAACTCATATTCGCCAGAAAAGTTTCTTTCGGCCTAGTGACGAAATATACTATTTTGTTATGACGGCCATAGGCAGAGATTCACGGACGCGGAGTGGAGCGTCCGTGAAGCGCTGCCTCACGGCCGGAATGACAAAAAATGAATTTATTACAGGTCGTTTTCCCTCACACGGAAGTTGTTAAATTACTACTGGATTGTGGCGCCCACGTGAATGCTAGGAATGAATCCCGTTCGACTCCACTTCACATTGCAAGCAATGCTTACAATTTTCTTAATCCAGTAAGTAATCCCAGAAAAATTCCATGTAATTCGATCTTCTGCAAAGTCCTATTTGAAATTTTATGAACCATTGATTGCAAATGGACAATAGTCCCAATGAAAGACTTTCTTAATCCATTTGTTGAAATTTCACCACTGGCGAAATTCATATGATAAAATTGGAATCCATGAACTACATTTGAACCTAGAGTATTGTGACTATTGACGGACTTAGCTGTGGGAAGCTAAACAGCGTTCGGCATGATCACTATATCGATTGGTGATTGCAATCACTTCGGCAAAAAGGAGTAAAAATAACTTGCAATATGCCGTTATAAAATCTCTGTACCATCGATGTTCCTACATCATTCCTATAAGTCAAGTCACTAATTTGAGACGGTTAATCCATGATATGCTTTGGATTCATCCTGGGTTTACCATTTTCATGAGCAATGACCCGAGTGGAAATCCTGTTCAGGTCTCGATCAGAAACTGATCGAGTCCGATCCGAAATTCTGATCAGGCATGTTACGCCTCCACCTTATGTTTTTTTATGTCGCGCCATGCAATAAGTCGAGTTTATCGCACGCTGCGCTTCGCGCAGCCTGCTCAAAACTCGACTTCTGCACGACTTGACATAATAGTATATTACGCAACCAGTGCGTAATGGTTTTTGTGGCTCGTGGGTAGTTCGCCTTCGGCTCGTTTTACAATCCCACGAGTCAAAAAACACCATTACGCACGAGTTTCGTCTACTATTTTATGTCATAGGGCCCAGAATCCGCGATTCTACCGAGCGAAGCGAGGTTAGAATCGCGTGATTCTGGGCACCTATGACATAAAATATTATAGAACACTCGGTAATAAATTTCGTTTTCAACGAATGTGTGTACAAACCTCGCCTTCGGCTCGGCCTGTAAACTACCTGTTACTAACTATTACCTGTAAATTGTACTCTAATGTACTATTATTAGGGTTTCTGCGCCTATCATCATTAGGCATTAATTAAATTAAATTTTTTTTGAGCGAAAAAATTAGTAACTTCCTAGTCAGGAATCGAACCCGGGGCCTCCCAGTGTCGCGTCGGGTGCTCTTACCATCTGAGCTACTAGGACACGTACGAATTTCACTCTCAAATTGACTCATACTCGAGTGGAAATTCTGTTCAGGTCTCGATCAGAAACTGATCAAGTCCGATCCGAAATTCTGATCAGGCATGTTACGCCTCCACCTTATGTTTTTCCACTAGGGGAAATACATTTGGAAAATTGGGTTGACCTAATTATTTCGAAAATAGATATTAATTTATGTTTTCCAGTTAATAAAGTTACATTTCGAATTAGGAGGCTAGTTATTCTCGTTGAATTTTCATGTTCGACAGAGCTTCTGAAAATTGATAAATTCATGAAAAATAAAATCGATGAGAAATCGGGCTTATTATTTCAAATGGAACTTGAGCTTTCGTAATACATTTGAGGAGTAGAAACATTCACATAAAAAATGGGATCGATGAATTTATTCAACTATCGATTTCAATCTTTGCAATTGAACTTCTCACGTCCCTTTTACCAATGCAATAAACTAAAAATGTTCAAAAACATTGGTTTCGAAATTACTTATGATAGAAGAGGTAAAATGGAATTGTAAAGAAATTTATACTGATGTTTAATTTTAAACTTTCACAGTTGATAAAACTACTTCTTGATTACGGAGCCCACCTGGACATTCCCAACCGAGCCGGTGACACCCCAGCAAAACTAATATCTTCAAATCCCCACAGCAGCATAAATCTCGTCAACTACATGAGCCTGCGGTGCTACGCAGCCCAGGCCATCTTCAAATATGGCATCCGGTGCACCGAATTACCAGTAACGTTGCATCAGTTTCTGGAATACCACAGGCCCCATCGTATCAACCTGTAAACAATGCGAAAAACATTCAACCCAAGTTATCTCGAAGACCATAATTTTAGAGTCTATAAGAATCATCATTTTGAAAAACTGATGATTGAGTTTGAAATTAACCCTAAATTGGTCATCATGCGCGAGAATCGCCACAAAACTTATTTTTTGGCAGCGTAGAGAAATGCGTACTCCTGAAAAATGAGTTTGAAAAAAATCAGTTCAAGTGTCAAGGAATTTCAAAATTTTGTTTTGATGATTCCCCAATTATTGAGCCTAATAGAACGGTTCAAATTGGTTTCGTCTGTTTAGCAGTTATGGTTTCTCTTCCAAATTTAATGGAATCGTTTGATGGCAACTTGATGGTAATCATCTATATAAAAACTTTCAAACAGAAATGTCCAAAATCAAGTGACCAAACTAGGGTTAGCAAGAAGAGCTATCAAATATTGGAAGACTACCCCATTTTTTTTATTGGTTTGAGAGTCAAGTCTCTATTTTTTGTCACTCTCGGGTAGACTTCAAAATTCGTGACTATGCCATCATTATTTATACTTGGCCTGTCAGGATGGACCGGTGAGTCAGATAGCATTGAAAAAATGCGGTCAATGTTATAAAAACTTTTTAACACATTATTAAACCGAGTTTGCCCAGTTTTCAAATGGATTCAATAATGCGTTAGAAAGTGTTTACAAAATTGCCTGTATGTTTTCAATACTGCCTATCTCGCTGCAGATAGGTAGTAATTTTTCAACAAAATTACGTGAAGATAATTTGAAAAAAATATATATAATCAGCGCCATCCAAATTACAGTTTACAACATATATTTTTTCGTTAATATTTTCTTGTTATGGATAGATAATGGATGTTTTTTGAATTTTCAAAAACCGAATTATAAATAAAATTTTACAAATTACAAAAAATTCTGAAATTGGAAATCCAGTTACGAAATAAGCTTACGATTTACAAAGACAGAAAAATCAACTTTCCTCAAAAAGTAAAATCTCCAATTTCTTTCAATTTTTCAAATGTAAGTGGTGAACAGAATATTAACGAGAGAATAATTGTTGAAGTACTTGCATATCCTCAAATTTCGTTGGGAAAAATATCGCCCATATGATAGCATTTAGATAGAAGTTAATATGAATCCTAGAAATTGAAGAATCCATTAACCCTCCTGAACTGGCTAGATCTCTTACGTCTCACTTGCACTGCAGTGGCGCCCTATAGGTTGAGTAGTGGGCGGCGGCGCGCCGCTCTACGCACCAGTTCAGAAGGGTTAATCAGCTAATTCATATTCTTCAACTATTTTCATTACAGTCACGATTTTCTAGTTTTACCGATTCTCATTATTCCTTACAAAACAATTGGGAACTGTAGCACTGAATGGCGCGCTCTACCGGCTGTAATGCGTACTAGTGCGAACAGGCGACTTGGAGTCATTGAATGGGTTTATGTATACAAAAGAGTTGTTTCTTGCCGGTTTTCATTGAATTTCTTGTAATTTATATTGTTTATACATGTCAACATAGTTCCATAGTCATTTTGAAAAAAGAGAGAATACTGTTTTCCTATTAAAAAAATGGAGTTCAACATCAGAGTAACAAATAATAGAGAATTTTGCACTGTGCCTGGCTGCAATAGTTCAGCTTATCGTAATCCAACAGTGGGATTCTTCCAATTTCCTATAAAAAACAAGAGTTGTATTTTGAGGCTTTTCTGATTGTGATTATCTCCCAAAAACTTGTTCATTTTCAATGTGAAACATTCGTTCTTCATCAAAGGCTGTGCATCATAATTTTCTAATGATAATTTCCGAGGAGCATTCCAATAGTATATTATGTCACCGGGCGATAAAAGCATTATCTAGCGAATGTGATTATAATCCTCGCCTTCGGCTCGGATTATAATGCCACATTCGCCAGGTAATGCTTTTATCGCTGTGTGGCATACGATATTTCTCGCTTCGCTCGGTTAGATCGCGGTTTTCGGACCCAACGACATAAATACATTTTTTATTAGTACAACTTATTATTCTCAGTTCTTCAAGATTGTTTCTGAAAAACAAATCAAAACTTTAACATCCATCTTTCATCTCACTATAATGTTTTTTCGCAAGTAGTAAATTAATATCAACAATAATCACCTGTTGCAGTAGAGCAACACTGCAACTGCGTGTTTACATCTTCCACTGAGTCCAGCCTTGCAAGTTTACGTCATTTCAATCACTTGACCATTTTCAACAATTTTCCCACTGATTTCATGAGGATTACCTTTAAAATTGGATGTTTGTAGACTGAAAGCAAGTACTTCATGAATATTTGTTGACGCATTGTCATTAGAAGTTTGTCCACATTGAATTACAAGCCCTGCTTCCAGTAATTTTTCACCTTCAATAAACTTCTTACTGCTGAGCCTCAGCGAAACGACACAATACTTGCATGGACACTTTTATGACAAAGCGACCCGTGAAATCTCAACGAAAACCTTACAATTTCTAATTATTCTAGGTGATTTAATCCAATTCTTTGGAAGGGAGATTACATAAACGTACTGACGGTCGCCTGCTCGCGCTAGTTCGAATTTCGGCCGCAAGGCGGCCAAGGCATTGATCACGCCCCCCTCAGAGTTCCCCATTGTAAAGAGGAAATTTCATTTCAGAGACTGTCCTATTTTGTGTTCTCGTTATGTTTACGATTACCTTCATTGTGTACAAATACAATATACTTTCGTCACGACTTTTTTCTCATTATTGTACAACTTATTCATAATTTCAACATATTAATTAAATTTAAAGAGTTGTATGGATCTCAGCAGGTCAACGTGATATGTACATCATGTAAGGATAATTGCGTAGTTTTTTGTTACTAATTTTGTGTTTTTCTTTTTTGAAAATATCACTTGTAAGTTATATAATAGCAGAGTAAGAGAATTTAAGCAAGTATTGCTTCGTTCGATTATTTCTATCAACAAATGTGATATTGATGAAAGCACTCGAGGCGAACACTCAATGGCATAAAAATAGCGATGCTCGATATTCATTTCTCTTTGATTCATATTCATAATGCACAGAACTAGTAAAAATAATTATAAAGAGAAAAAATTACATTTGTCATTCAATAATTTTATTCATTCCTCAGCATCCTTAACTTACTCCCTAGTTTGCATAACAGGGAATGATAATTACTATAAAAACAATGGATAATAAAATTTGATGAAGAGCTAATTATTCTTTTTAATCACTCAGTTCAGATCCCCCTAGATAGCAGTCATACAAGATCAAGGAATAGTACCTCAAAATTTTGAATGTATATATCTGCTTATCAGTCTTGTCATTTTATATTTATTCCTTTTAAAAAATACGAAAAAATAATACAATGACAGCTGTTGTTAGATAATTAGTGGTTATCGTGAATGCACGGTTTGCACTAACTCTCATGTATTCATCCACTACATGAATTTTCCAACCCATGTTGGCGTGAGTGAATGAATTGTACCAGACTGTGTCCGGCCAGCTGGAGTTCGGGGTGACTTCTAACAATCCACCTTCACCTGAAATAAAAATTAAAGAAATTGAACAAATTTTCTCGTTTGATTTCCATCTAATGCAAAAAAAAAGAACCCAATAAATCAAATGGTGAAGTGGTAATTTTTTTTTTAAAAGCTGAGAAGATATTTTTTGGAAAAAATTGTACGAATAAATGTTGATACCCTACTGAATTTTAAAAGTTCTGCAATTGAAAAATGAACTTCATGAGGTTCCTTAGGAATAGATTCTCAAAAATATTGAAACGCAATTTTTTATTTTTGTAATATCCTTGGCGAAGCAGCATACATGGAGTTCCATGTATGCTTCCATAGCGCAATGCTGACACATATGGAAAAATCCAATAGGAAAACCTAGCGAATGAAGTTATTAGCGATATGTTTTCATTATCAAATGTCGACAAATTAATTGATCCAGTAATGGTTCAAATTGAAGTTGAGGGTAGAATATTAAATCTCGAAATTGATACGGGCGCTATACGGTACTTGCGTGGCTGTTGCGTGGCTAATAGGATTGTCATTTTCTGGGGCTAAAAAGGGGGAAATGATATCTGAAAAGACAATAAACGTGGATAGACGAATTATTAGTTTATATTTGCACTGTTTATAACATTGTTTTCTATCAATTGATTGAAATTAATGTGAGTGTATATAATGATAATACAAGACCCGTAGGGGGAATGCCGGGAGATGGCGGCAGTGTCGATATCCCAACGGGGTCGGTCAAGTCGACAGCAGTCGCAGCCAGAATAAGTGAGACCCCTACAGAGGTGGGGCGCCACGGTCGATTCTAACGGCTGGGCGAGCTGCCTGTGCCGGTAACTCGGCAGTAGGGCCAGAAGAAGAATATCCATGGATTTGTGGAGTGANCCAATATTTCCTTTGTTTTTCCGTTGATTCATTCGCCCGCTAATTAATATTAAGGGATGAGACGAGGACTTTTCGATGGAGAATTAGATTCCCCATCTATCAACCCCCGTTTCATCCCTTAATCTTTGTTATAAAAAAATTAAAACTGCGACGAAAGTCACGGTGCTATGAGAAACCCAATGGTTTCTCGGCGCAGAGTGCCACCCCAATAATTCGCCCGCCAATTAAAAAATCGT